CCCCCAATATCTCAGCTGTCTGCCTCAGTTTCCAGCCCCAGTCTACCTTAAGTAAACCCAGGCCTCAATTCCTCAGCCAGCTTCTCTGTAGTCCACAGGTTCTAATCCTGGTTGTGGCAACTTTCACTCCGTATACTTTAACACTCTCTCTCACCTTAACCTTCCCCCAAGTACCCCAGGGACCCCAAGCACACACATACACACTGGACCATCCAAGTTAGGAACTTACCTGTGTGTATGTGAAGGTGGGTTGTATGTGTGTGAACTGGTGAGTGTGTGTGGGTATATATATATGGCATTGTGTGCATGATATATGAATTAGTGATCTGTGCCAAACTTTTGGGGTGTATAGTGTATGTGCTTGAATCGGTGATAGGTATGCATGTGCCTAGGCTGGTTTGGATGTGCCTGAGCAGGTAGTGTGTGTGTGTGTGTGTGTGTGTGTGTGTATGCAACTAATTGATTTGTGTGTTTGTAAATGTGCAATTGTGTCACACCCTCCTGTCTAACAGTGCAATATTGAGATCCTGAGAGTAGGCCTGACCCCACAGGGCTACATAGAGATTCCGACATAGAGACAGCTTTAGGTAGCAGGGGCTCATGAGTGCTGCAATGCTGGGGGTGCATGGAGTGTTCCACAGAAGCATGGGGGCTCCCCAGCACACTCAGCAGAAGACCCAGAAGTGACCAAAAGTGCTCCCCCTGTGCTCTCACCAGCTCAGTGACTGGTGCCTCCTGGGTCTGGGGGTTGGCCCTGTGGCCAATTGCTGAGCTGGGAGAGCTGAATTTTAGATTTTCTTCCTCAATCTTGTGCAGGAGTTTCAACAAGCCATTCACTTACAGTTCTCTCAGCAGAACCTGTTGGAATAATTTGACTTAACATGGATTAACCAAATACAGCAGCAAAAAAAGCAGGTGAATTTAAAATTCAATATTCATTTTAAGAAATAAGGTGATGATCCATTGTACATACCAAATAAATAATAACTAGGATTTATTCAATGTACATTTTCATAGATTTCATAGACATTTGGGCTGGAAGGGACCCCAGAGGATCATAGAGTCCAGCCCCCTGCCCCAGGGGCAGGAAGTCAGCAGGGATCATAGGATCCCAGCAAGATAAGTAGCCAAATGCATCTTGAAGGTGTTCAAAGTGTGTGCTTGAACCGCCTCCGGCAGCAGTCTATTCCAAACCATGGGGGCTTGGACAGTAAAGAAGTTCTTTCTTATGTCCAGCCTGAATCGGTCACAGTGGAGTTTGCGACAATTCAATCTTGTCATCCCTTGGGGTGCTCTGGTGAACAGATGTTCCCCCAGATCCTGATGAGCACCCCTGATAAACTTATAGATGGCCACCAGATCATCCATGAGCCTGCATTTTTCCAGGGTGAAGATTCCTATGGCTCTCAGCCTGTCATCATAAGGTCTGTTTTCCTGACCTCTGATCAAGTGCGTGGCTCTCCTCTGCACCCTCTCAAGCTTCCCCACACCCTTTTTGAATTGTGGAGCCCAAAACTGGATGCAGTACTCCAGCTGCAGCCTCACCAAGGCTGGGTACAATGGGAGAATGACATCCTCGGATCTACTTGAGAAGCATCTCTGGATGCAAGCCAGAGTTTTCCTTGCTTTACTGGCTGCAGCATCACACTGAAGGCTCATGTTCATCTTGTGGTCAATCATGACTCACAATTCCCTTTCATCTGTAGTGCTAGCCAGCATAGGACTGCCAAACCTATAAGCATGGTGCAGGTTTTTCCTCCCAAGGTGGAGAACCTTGCATTTTTTGGTGTTGAACACCATCAGGTTCTCATCCACCCATTCATGAGCCTGTCAAGATCTGCCTGGATCACTCTCCTGTCCTCAGGTGTGGATGCTTTACCCCAGAGTTTGGTGTCATTGGCAAACTTGGCCAGTCCGCTTCTGACACCAATGTCCACATCATTGATGAAGATGTTAAATAGTATACGCCCTAGGACAGAGCCTTGTAGTACCCCACTGGTCACAGCGCACCAAGA